TTTTATGTATGTTTCCACATGTTTTAATAAATTGCTGCTCCCATTTTCCATGCACTATCCTAAGAAATAATGAGATTTGCACAGTGCTGTAAATATGTGCGTTGTGTTTTTTATTTTAATTTCTCAGGACTTCTTTCAGTTTGCTGTTTATGTATCTGAAAGTCTTGTTTTCATTCTCCTTAATTCAAATTAGAAACCTTCTGGCTACTTTCCTACATTTCTTGTGCAGATTTTCATGTTCCTTTCTCATCTTTTTCAGTTGACCCCCTCCCCTCCTCTGCCAGTGTCCCTCTCCCTGGAGGACTCAGAGCTGCTCTCCTTCTACTCCTCTCAAAGCCTCGCCCACCTCTCCTGCCTGGCGGATGCCGTCGATGTGCTCTTCAGCAGCGTGAAGGGAAACCAACCTCCTCGAATCTTCGTCGCCAGAGGAAAGAGCCTCATTGTAACTGCGCACAAGCTGGTATTCATCGGGGACACGCTCTCCCGTCTTCTCACGTCTGCTGACCTCCGGGCCAAAGTATGTGGAAAAGTTGGCATGATGTTTAGATCCGGCATTTCATAGCGGTGTAATATCTTTAATATTTTTTTTCCCCCATCAGATCACTACCTCGGGGGGACGGCTCTGCCAAGCTTTGAAGGCAGTCGTGGTGGCAACAAAGGGTGCTGCACAGAACTATCCATCAGTATCTGCCACCCAGGAGATGGTGGACCGTGTCGCAGAGCTCTCCCAGCAGGCGGCCGGCTTCTCCACTCTGCTGCAGCGTCTGGCAGAAATATCTTCATGATGTTTCTTAGTGCTTACGTTAAAACAAACAACTTTGTCTACACTACACATCTATCTCCTCCTCTCTGAAATGCCTTATTTGTTGTTACACTCGTTCATTACCCCTGTGCTTGAATGGGATGGAAGGAAGCGAAGCCGAATCCTGCGGCGAGGCGTTTGTTCCTCGCCACAGCTGTTATCCAGCTGTTTTCACCGTGTTGGGTGTGTCGTCTGAGCGCGTGCTGGTTTGCTTTTGTTTCTCCACTGACCTCTGTGCTTTGATGCCAGGCAAAAATAGTTTTTTAAGTGTTAATTTATTGAAGATTTTGAAGCCCCTGTGTGGTTTAAGTGTCCGTGTGGACTTCCTATTTTGGGAGCTTTGCTTTAATGTGCTTGCCATATT